ATTGCCTAAAGTTTAGTTTTGATTTTGGCGAAAATCCAACTAAAAAACAACTTTTAGTAATTACCAAAAGTCACTTGCGAAAGTCTGTACTGCAAAATTCACATTCCCCTCTTTTAGAGTGTATATTGAAACAAGATGGTGAGGTTATAAAGGCCCTTCAACAAATAATCGATTATATAGCACCAATTAGTCCTCGTGATTTTATTGATACTGAGTTATTATTACAAGAAATTGTCGATGGTCATGAAACAGATGAATCTTTTATTGGAATACAGCAATCGATTTTGTTTGATCAAATTAATGCAAATAATAATTGGTTCGATGATTTAGAATGGATATCCGCAACAGATTTTACGTTAATTGATGATTTAGCATTGTCACCCGATAATATAGGTAATAGTAACAATATTGAACTTATTACTCTGTAAAACAAAAGAGGGTCGTACTGAACTTTTTTCTGTACCATTTTCAGAACCCTTTTCAAAACTCTTTTCAGTTCCAGCTCTTCGCTAAAACCTTTTATGGTTCATGATGACTCCTTTCTTTTTTTTTAGAGAGTACTATAATCGATTCATCGTCATCGTCATCAGTCGTAGACAATCTCCAATTGCCAATTGAAAACGTTGATTATAATTGTTGCACTCCTTTGAAAAGGACATCGATGGAAGCTCTTCTCGTACCAGTCGATCAACTAAATTATAACTGTCATATTCGTCTCGATAGGCTCCTCGAAAACGATTTGCCCGTACCATATCAGTCGATTTCATACTTACCAAGAATACCAAAAAAAACAAATGCCGTTAATAATAAATCAATGATATCGATAAGGCCACCAAATAATAATAATGGAACCATTATAAATAATAGTCGTACGTCGTATCTCGATAGAGAGATTAAAAATTTAAAAAGGAAGAAATTAGTCGATTCAACTACAAATGGTAAACGTAAACGTTTTAAAGCAAGTGATAAACAAAAATAATAAACGCTCGTACTAAAATTAACTTTGCTTTTTTCCATTTAATCTAATAACTGCATGATCATTAAACTCGCAATTAGTTTTATATTTTTTATTAATATTTCATAATACTAATGATGTTAATCGCATGGATTGTGGTGAATGAATGATGCTTTAATATTTCTAATCATTTTTTTCCTACCAATAGTGAATATCTCAAGGGGGAAAAGAGAGACTTCATCTACTTCAAAATGTTTTTGAAGTACGAGTGAAGTAGAATGAAGTAGATTGAAGTAAAATTGAAGTAGGAATGAAGTAGAAGTGAAGTAGGAATAAAATAGAAGTGAAGTACGGTGAAGTACGACTGAAGTACTGTGAAGTACCGTACTTTCCTGTACTTCAAGTTACTTCACTGATACTTCAAGTTACTTCACTGATACTTCAAGTTACTTCACTGATACTTCAAGTTACTTCACTGATACTTCAAGTTACTTCATTGGTACTTCATTGTACTTCACTTCTACTTCAGTCGGGATTTCATTTGTACTTCAAGCACTAGTGAAGTACCACTGAACTATCACTGAAGTACCGATGAAGTACACACTCCTGAAGTCTAGCTTTTTCGCCCTTGGAATATCTCTTTTTATATATCTAAATGCATTTTGTCTATTTATCTAATTTTGCATGAAAATTTTGAAAACATAATTCACGTGTTTATGCCTTTCGCGCTTTAGTTCTTGATAATATCCTTTGAATATTATGGAGAAGAAATGCATTGATTAGAACAAGTGGAATTTTATTGAGATCTCTCATAACCACAGAATGAAAATGATAATAGTGATACTGTCCATGGAATCACCATTTAGAATGACTTTAACTAATATCTACATGGTAAGTATCAGAAGTTTTTCGAAGCTCTGTAAATGAATCAAATAACTATTTATATATAGATGTATTGATGATGTTTTCATGACAACAAACTTACCTCTCAATCAAATCAATAAATTATTCTATAGAGAAAGCGTCACAGGTGAAAACATACGAACTAGTCGATCAATTCGATCATCGATAATCAAGGTCAATGGATAATAAGAGTCTTTCATAAACCAGCATTTTTATGTAATCATCTACGTCATATTCATGTCAATATTATTCAGAGGGTCTTATTTTGATAAGTATGTCTTTGTTCAAATGTAGAGAGTTTGAACAAAGAACGGTTGAACATTGAACTTACGTTATTATTGAACAGCTATGCACCACAGTTTATTTCATACCTTATATCAGTTATGGAGCAATTAGATGATGGTCAGTAGCTGTACCTGTATTTTAATTGTAAGTTTGGGCGACCATAAATTCGATTTTATCGGGAAGACGCTAATTACCTAAAAGTAGAGAAGAATAGATGAAAAAGAAGAGAAACGATAACACAGAGCAAACCTGTATTAGCAGTTTCTGTTAAGATAAGTTATTGTCAGTCTACAATGAAACAAAACAGACTAAATGAACTTGCTGTTGCTTATAATTATCGTTCTGATTTAGAGTCTTGAATTTAAAACATAAATGTTAGAAACAGAGACAGTAAAATCGACTAAAACTACGCATAACTAGAACTTAAGATCTCAATTCAATACTTGTTTGATTAAAAGAATCTTTTTTTTCATTCTTTTATATTTTTGACTCTGACTCATCCATATATATACAAATATGAATAATATATGTTTGTAATAATGTGACTACGCATAACATATGTTCACGTCGCATTTTCATTTTTTCCCACTCTCCTACGCTTCCTTCTGCGTTATATAAACAAATGCTTTTATTCTTATTTTCATTCAGTTTCAATTATATACATTATTCATATATCATTCCATTATAATTACGTTTGATTTACCTATTTTCTAATTAGACTAAAACAAAGTAATAGATATTTTACATTGACAACTGCTTCTATAAATATAATCTATTGCAATATCTAAAGATTATCAACCAAAGAACAATTTTCAAGGTATGTAAGTTTCATTGAATATCTTAATAATACAATATAGCTGAGCAGTACAAGATGAATCTAATAACAATCCCAAAACAAAGTTCATATGGAGCTACTATCTAATAAAATCTTTTTTTTTGTTTTAGATATTTTCAAATCATTGTAATGATTATGTAGTCTTCACAAATACACCATCATCATTTACAAGCTATTATGATAATAATACATGAATTGTATAATCGAATATCTTTTATTAAATAATTAATTTATTGTATATTTTCTTAGGATTTTGATAACTCAATTTAAATTTCCACGAAGCAACTACTGGATAGTATTGTTAAAGGTTGAACGTGAATTAAATTACTAATACTATTACTTGATTAATTATGTGATCATTATGAACAGACTTTCGTTGATGTGAAAATACTGAAAAACAAAATATAAAAAAGTAATTATTATCTTCGTTCTCTTTCCTTCAAACAAAAAATATTTATGCAATAGCATATTTGCACGTATTGAGAACAAAAAAGATATATTTTTTCTTATCTATCTTTTATAAACAAATACAAAATATACATTGCTATGTATTTATTCATATTCACCATTAATTAACTATTCTTTCCACATATATTAATGCGTAGGATAGATTAAAGTTCACATTCCTTCTCATAGATATAAATACTCATTGTTTTTTATATGATACTCATATTTTACTTTAGCTAACATATAAGTAAGTACGAATTATATTTTTTCTTAGATTAGAACAATAGAGATTATATATCTTAATATTATTTTTTCTCACCATATTGCAAAGAATTATTGTGAATAATTCATTCCAACAATATATTCAAACTACTCTGTTTGATTCACAATTAGACTGAATAATATTATACGCTAAGTAAGATTTTATTAAAATACATTCAATAATCTATTACGATAAACCCAAACACAACAACCACTTATTCAAAGTAAGTTTTATTTTCAATTACAATGATAATACGTAATATCTATTTTATATCGGTAATTGTTTGTATTAATTGTTCTTTGTATCTAGTAAGTACTCATTTACATATATTTAAAGTATAAATGATTAATAAAAATTATTTTTCCTATTCGAATATCATCCAAAGAATGAACTTCAAGTTATGGAAATTTTCATTATCAACAGATATTTTATGTTATATTTCTTATTTTATTTCACCTGTTCTTCTAGATAATAAACTATTATTTTTCAAGAACAATGCATCGAGCACAAGAACAACAACTGTTGTCTTCAGAGTTATTATCATCAAATAGTATGGAATATATTGATGATGATGATGAACAGATTTATAATCCTCAACAACAACCGATTAAACAAGAAATACAACCATTGAATTGTTCAAATCCAATTGTGAATCGTCTGTCTCTATTACCAGCTTATCCAACATTTGATCGATTTGGACCTATCAATCGAGATCATTTACTTTTGGCAAATGTATCTTGTCAAGAATTAACCCATGAACAACAACGACGTCGTAATCATCATCCATTTCATCAACCATTTACTCTTATTGATCAAAGTAATGATATCAGTGTTCGATCACCGTTCATGAAAATATATGATAAATTATATGGAGATTTAACTAAACGCTTCCAAATTGATAATGCTATTCTTGATTATAATTATCAACGTCTTCATACTTGCATGAATATTATGGTACAAGAACGAATTCGATATGGTTTACTTGCAATGGATACCATTGGTATGAAAGAATTACGACTTGTTGAACATGCATTAGCTATGGAATTTTATCTACAAATTGATGGTATAATTTTATTATTTGTATGATCATATGACTATGTATGTATTCTAGATGAATTGTTTTTTATAAAAACATGTTGTTTTCGTAATGCTCAACCATCATTATACAATCATCGTGGCATCTTTTCTATGGATGAACCAAAAGCCCTCTACGGTCTAGAACCATGTGAACAAGTTACATGTCGATTCTGTTTCCCAATTAAAGATGTTTTTATTCGTGGTCGACAAAATCAACCAGTTGTTCGATTTTCATCAGCACAGAAACACCGTTTTGTCAATGGATACGAAGCTATTCTCAATTGTCCAACGGTATATACTATCACATGTATAATGTTTTTATCTCTTTCATTTATTTAGACTTGTATTACCAAAAATATTCTCTATGCATTGACATGTCCTTGTGGTCAATTTGATTATATTGGATATACATCATTAACATTGGATGAACAACTTGAATGTTAGTATATTTTATTTTTAATAAATGATAATTATCTTCTATATGTATAGATCATCGTGAACATGGTAATCGAATCATTCATGAATTTATTCTTGGTTCATTAAATAGTAGTCGTATGCGACAACAAACTAAATCAAAAGAGTAATTAAATTTTTTCCATGTATACATATATTCATATTACTACACATGTATAAATTCTAGAGAATCAATAGCTGATAATATGTTACTTTATAAACATTCAGCTCGGTGTTCGTATGCTATTCAAATGTTTCTGGATTGTAATCCACAATACTGGTGTTTTGTACCAATGTCAACAATGGAAGCAGAAACACAAAATCTTAGATCTGATTTGTCAAGTGTTTGTACAGCTTTCGATGACAAAGAAGCTAGTGCATACATGACTGATTTACCTCCATTACCTTCAGGAAATTATACATTTTCTGCACATCAACGTTCAAAACAAATACAATTATTAAAAGATAAACGTGAATGTCTTAAACCTAATTTGCATCTTGATCTTTACAATGCTACAATTATTGCCGTGATGCCAGAGGGATATACAGAATTATTTTATCGATTACTCGAAGCATTATTTATTACACATGCTCTAACTAAATTAAATACATTGGGTCATTTAGATGGTATGATTGTGGAAAATAACAATTCTAATGATATAAATGCGCGCATAGTTGATGATCGTCGTGGAAATTGGTGTCAAGATCTTGTTCGTCGTCCTCCTATGTAGCAATTTGCTCAATGATCCTACAATTATTTTAATGAACTGCAGCTTTTCTTTTATTATTTTAATCAGTTTTCTATTTCTTCTATTTTTATTCATTATCTTTTATTCCTGCTTGTAGATTTATATTTACGGATCAATTTTATCTACTTTCAATTATAGTCATGAAGAAATGTTATAGTCAAGATCAAACTCGCTCTACAAGATTAAGAGCGGACAGAAGGTTAGAGATGTATGATCAATTTGAAGAGCATGATGCATATCCAAGATCTGCAATTACTACAACTGCTCAATCACATTCATTACCAGCATATGCCACTCGACATGGTTTGTACTTTTTGTTTAATCAGTATTCTCTATTAAGAAATATTTTCTTTGTATCATTTTACTATTACAGATACCTTATTTTCATTGGGACGACAGCATTACGTGCCAAGTACTAGTCAACGAACAAATGATCTGCAACAGTTCGATAAAATGGATACTGATCTTCCATGGAATTATAAGATTCTCGAAACTGATGATGATAATAATCAAGAAATACGAGAACTTAACGTAAATATACATAGATAAATCATTAACAAAATTTTACTATATTTATTTTATTACTTTACTTAAGGAGTTGGTTTTATCACAACAAATGGGTCATTTATTAACAAATACCACACATACTGAAGGACATCTCATGAAAGATATGAAAAGTGAAATTGAGAAAATTCCAAATTTTTTAACAAAACATGATAGTTCCTTTAAACAAATGTTATATCAGGCACAATTATTAATAAAATCAACAAATACAACAACAACTATCGATATTAAACAATTACGGGAAATAGCACTTACAATTTATAAAATCATGATTCTAAAAACTTATCATGTACTTTGGATGGTATATTTGAAATCAGGTCGAGGAGAGCTGATACTATCATCTGAAACAGTACCGATATGGCCAAAAGATATTATAAGTTTATTGAAAGTTAACAATACAACAAATTCTCATGAAATTTATTTGAATTTTGTCAATCAACAATTACATGCATTAGATCATCAATTAAATATATGTAAAACTGAATTGAATACAAAAGCAAATAATATATGTGGTTATTCGTTAATGGTTCAAAAAATAATAAAAACATATATTGAAAAACATATTCAATCTTTTCGTTTGAAAACTGAACATCAAATTGAATTGATACATTATGATTATCACATTCGAAGATTGAAATTAGAATATATTCGATTTAATCCTAATCAATATCAAGTATGTTTTTTGTAAGCAATAAATACCTTCTTTTAATTTAATTCGTTTTTATAGATTGAAATAATGAAAAAGATTTGTCAAAGTAAATATGAA